ACCGAACATCGAAAAACTCGAAACTTGCGAATATAATTTCGAATATATTCTTAATAATATAAATAGACCTTCTTGTCTAAATAACTTCTACTTAATCCTTATAACTTATCAAATCATATAAGTCACATAAAATACTTAGGCAATTTATAACATTTACTCGACTAACTCAATTTAATGAAAAGCGATTCTGATTTAACTTTAATGTCGAGCCAAATAAAATTCTAAGAGATTTATTAAGGCTTGAAAATATAAAAGATCATTGTTAATAAAAGTAAAATAGTTCTAACTTAGAACTGAAATAATTACTTTTATTAATTACTGAATGGGATATTACAATCTACCCCTCTTAAAACTATTTCCGCCCTCGGAAATACTAAAACTGAGATACATACCTTCTGGGTACATATCAGAACTCAAAATCTGAAAAACAAGCTCTAATATCAGCCTCCCGCTCCCAAGTGACATTTGACTCTCCGTGGCGATTCCATCTAATACGAATGAGGGGAATATCTCGATTCCTGAGCCGATGAACCTTTCGGTCCAAAACTGCTACTGGCTGCTCCTCATAAGTTAAATCAGGCTGAATCTGAATCTCATTGTGCTGAAGCACATGCTCTGGATCGCACACATATGCACGTAACATCGATACGTGAAAAACATTATGCACACTTGACAACTCGGGAGGTAAAGCTAAGCGATAAGCTACTTCTCCAACTCGCTCCAGAACTTCAAATGGACCTATATAACGAGGATGCAACTTGCCTCTCTTCCCAAAACGAACGACCCCCTCGCATCGGTCGAACTTTCAAGAATACTTTATCTCCAACTTCAAATTGCATCTCCCTTCTGTGCTTATCGGCTGAAGACTTTTGACGACTCTGACCAGTGTTTAGCTTTTCTTGAATCCAAGCTACTTGCTCAACTGTCTCTTCAATCATCTTTGGTCCAAGAACTCGTCTTTCTCCAACATCATCCCAATAAAGGGGTGAACGACATTTTCGACCATAA